AGAATTCCCCCGCGTTTTTTCTACCGTGTCACGAACAATCGCGCGATTTCACGGCGTTGAAAATTTTGCAAAATTTTGCGATCTCGACAATCAGCGATCTCGAGAATCAGTCAACTACAACTATATGGAATAGAGATATTAGAGAAAACGAGATATTCAAGTATCTCATGAACCGTTAGCTGCATCAATGTTAATTGAGTACTAATTTTAGAACGGCGTATCGTTCCATATGCCACCGCGGAGATTATTAATCTCTCATTACGTATGAAATTGCAAATGAAAACTCGCGTGTAAAAAGCTGATTGACAAAGCGAGAAGAATAAATAAACGAGATAAAATTTGTGCCGCTGATAATCGTACTTGCAGCCGATCGTTCTCGATCGTCGATGTCAAATATCCAAATAAAATAACAAAATTATTACCACATGTACAAAAAGAGTTACTTAAATTTTTTAAAAATTGTAAATTACAATGCAAATTACAAAGCTGTTATTTAAAAAAAAATATACCTCCGTTCTAAAGAATAAACAATCATAAACTCCTTTCCTACCGATTTTGACATAAAGTTTACTTTTTTAAAGAATAAATATTTGTAACTTCGATACGGCAGTTTCGATATATACATTGGCATGAGAGAAATGTTTTCAAATAAATTCAAAAATTGTAAAATTAAATGTCATCAGGAGATAAGATCAAAATTAGGCCTCTTCTTGTTCCTTTTAGCTTTTTTCATTGTTCATTTTTCTTCTTTTTTTTCCTCTAATGTGGAAAAAAAACGGAAAGATAAGCGGTGTAAACAATTCAACTGTGACAGGTAGTAAGAATTGTCTATTGTCTGCGTTTTGTCAAAATCGACTGCGAGAATTTACGAACATTCCTCGTTAGTCGGTGCAGGCCTGTCGATGCAAGCCATGATGAGCTTCTCCCCGAGGCGTTCACCTGCTCTTCTCCCGGGGATGCAAACTCGATCGTTACTGGAACGCATCCGACGCATAGATACGTTTACGTGGAGAGCGAAAGCGTGCCAGCGCGCACATAGTTCGCCGTTCGTATTTTCGGGAACGCGCTCGAATAATAAGAGGCTAATGATAGTTACGATCGTAACAGTCACAAAGCCGAAAATACGAATAGGAGGCGCGGGAACATTTATTCGGAATTCGGGAAAGTCACGGTAAATTGTTCCGATCGCCTTGTCGTTTGGAGTTACATCTCCGGAAGACGAAAGGAAGGATCTATTTGTCTTTTTCTCTTTTTTTTTTTCAGTACGAAATCTTCCTTTTACATTTCGTTACGCTTCTTCTAAAATTTAACGGACGTATCGTTTCAAAAACGATATGATACGCTTCAATTTTTTTGTTTTAAATCAATCAGTTCCGTCGAACAATTTATCAGACCCCCTTGTATTGTAGATTGATGAAGAGAAAGGTTCGCATTTAAATAACCTATCGATACAACTCGTGAGAAGCAACACAGACAGCACGCGAGTTAGCGCGTCGCTTAGAATGACAATCGCGGAGAATTGACGCAGAGAATTCGTTCGCACTTACCATATGAAATCCTTGCAGTGGCTGCAGAAGGTGGGCTGTTTGAAGAATCTGGGCATGAAGCTGTGATTCTTGACCATGTAGACATTTTTCTTCTTGAGAGCGCCCTTCCGGCCCCGCAATTTCTTGGCGAAAGCGGTGTTGGTGTCGCCGGTCCCGAGGGAGTCCTCGCACGTGTTATTCTCCTGGTCGTCCGCCATGGTTTCGCCGCCGAAACCGCCGATGCCGCTGTTACCGCTACTGCTGCTGTGTGCTGCTGCTGCTGCTGCTGCTGTTGCCGCTGCCGCTGCTACCGCTGACCGGCCGATCGACGATGAATCGACTCGCCGACGACGTCGACGTCGATGATGTCCCGCGCCACTCGCGGGCGGCTCGTCGCCGGGGACGGCGCCGACCTCCCCGGAACCTCGGTCAGTCCGCGCGGTGTCGCGTTTTATTCTTGGTATTCCTGGTTACGCGCGCGCGGTTCGTTCCGCTCTTCGACGACGACGATCGAACTCGCACGGAGTGGAGACCGCGCGCGGGAGCTGTCACACGGCTCCGACGACCGACGACGATGTGTCTCGCGCGCGCGACGGCTTAACGGACGACGAGAAGGGAGCGCGAGGAAGATGGTGGGGAGAATTGGGGGGGGGGAAGAGAGAGAGAGAGAGAGAGAGAGAGAAGAAGAGACG